ACAAAAAGACAATTACTATAAATAGCTGGGATAAATTATTTGACTTATTGCCCAAAAATGCTAAATTTAAAAATCTGGAAGAAAAACTCTTTTATAAATTTTAGAAATCTTCCAATAGGTGCAAAGGTCAGCGCAGTATTGTGACAGAGCCTATTACAACACTTCTGCGAGACCTGCCACCTAAAAGAAAAGAACTTGAAACAAATTATAGTTAATCTTTTGATAATACAGAGAATTCTAGTAGTGAAAGTTCAAAAGATAACGAGCAAAGATCACTGGTAAAATGGTAGCTAAGATATCTGAAAATAAAGGGTGTCCAGTAAGTTGTACGGCAAAGATTGCAGAAGCACGTTATAAATAGAAACTCTGTTTCTATTTATAACGTGTTATGCAATATTATTTTGGAATTTAATTTATTAAATAAAATTTCTGTTGTAATATGTGACACCACTACAGTAAATACATGTTCTAAAATCGAGTAATTAAGCATTTGACAAAAATTATTCCAGGTTTAGTGTACCATCCTTGTCCACTTCATGTTCTCGACCTGAATCTTAAGCATTTTATGAACTCAAAGTTTGATTCTTTATCAACATCGCCTAATATTAATTACTGGTTCATTAATGAGTTGATTAGTAACTACCATAATTTAATTGAAAAATGCAAACCTAATGGGCCAGTATTTAAAAGTAAAAAATATGGCAGGAATGATTTTACAGAGCTGGATTTGTTATGTAAAGGATACAAGTTTTATCGAAACACAATGAATTTACCCGCGATTCATGTTTCTAAACCAGGTCTTATTTCAAATGCGCAATGAAATTCAAGAGCTATCTATTGCTTGAAATATATGCTTTTGACTCGGACAAAAAAAGAATCAATAATAGAGGCGTGCAATTTTATTGTAGATCACTGGGCTAAGCCATGCTTCTCTTGCAGAAGAAATGTTATAACGAAGTTAAAATTAGCATTAACTGTTTTTTTTTTTTTTTTTTTTTTGGTGCCCCAAGAAGACCTAATGGTCTTGTCACAGAGCACCGCGAAAGTGCATTTAACCAGGAAGTTCACACCTCCTTTCTTACTATGATGCAAAAATTGTCATGGTAAGGAAGGAGGCGTGAACTTCTTGGGGCACCTAAAAATAAATAAAAAATAAAAAAATAAATAATGTCAATTTTAACTTCGTTCAATTTTAACTGGTAATTGCCTGGAGTGTTTAGAAAGACACTGAAATTTTTGTAACTATTGGCCATGAGACATTGATTACACAAATGAAGTGTACGAAAGGTCTCTTGCAAAAATTAAATTATTTCTTCAAAAAAACGTCATCAACTTAGGTGCCAATTTTCTGAGACACTGTAATAAACTTTAATCCGCCTATGTGTGTTGTTGTAATAAAACAATTTATTGTTTGAACTATATTTACTTCCATGATACAGTTTTCAAAACCTTATAACTAAAAATTTAGAACTCAACAAACATTATCTTTACTCCAAGTTGCATAAATTTTTATGCATAGTTTGTAAGCATGGAGGCTAGCCACGGTAGACAATTTGCAGGACCTGCGAATTTGGGGACATTTTTCAAATTTAGAGGTCCTTTTCCAAATATAATGATTTTTTTTTAGTAATACATCTAATAATGGAAGGTTTTTAAGATTTTGACACCCTAATGACAAGTTGGAAGGAGGGGGCTCTGACCCTTTAGCCACAGCACTGTTTTGTATGGTATTTTCATCACTATGTAAATTTGTTACTTTGTTTTTTTGATTAATTTTTTAAAAGTTTATATAAGTCTTAAAACGAGACTTTTCAATCTGTTGCAACTTGATTTATTAGCTTGATTTTTGAAATATTTTATCATTTCAAAAAAATGAGTTTTGGCAGAAGGTTTTTGAATCTGTTATGGTTAAAAATATTTTTAAAATACTTTTTATAACATTTCTCTACCGGTAGTAATAGGGCAAATTGATTTTAAGAAAAAAATGTAAAAAATTCCCACCTCTAATATATATATATATATATAAATATATACACAATACTCAATAGCATGTTCTTCTTATCAAATAAATAACATACTGCACAATCTAATATATGTAAGAAATTAATTTTCAGAAGCATCTTTATAATTATAAAATTTTATGATTTTAAAGAAGTGCATTTACATTTACATGAAAGTATTTACACGAAAGGTTTACATGAAAGTATTTACATGAAAGTATTTACATGAAAACTTTCCTACTGAAAATTTAAAGTTGTATAAAAAAAAATTAATTAGGTTTGAATTAATATTTTTTTGCCTGTTTTACCATTTTGTTTAAGCTATTGGTTTAAACCTATCAATCCTGTCACCAAGATCTCTTAAGCTATCATTTGTTAATTATTGTGGTCTTCGAAGTAACTTTTCTTCTGTTGAGTCTTATCTCTTGCAAAGTTCACCAGACCTACTTGCTCTTTAGGAGACTAATTTGAGTTTGGCTGTCTCATTCTGTGGTCTTAATGTTGATGGTTATCTTCTTTTAATTTGTAAAGACTCCAATAGTCATATGTTTGGCCTAGCCATTTACGTTCATAAGAACTCACCCATTTGTCAGGAAACTAAGTTTGAATCCACCGACTATCCTTTTATGTGCTTTCATTTAGCACCACTTCACTCTATCGCCTTTCTCTTTGTTCTATATTACTCTCCTTCATTTCAAGGCTACACTCTTTTTGATGTTATTTTGATCAAATTGACCAAACCCTCTCTCTTTATCCATCAATCAATATTGTTGTTGTTGGTGACCTAATTGCTCATCACACTGAATGGCTTGGCTCTAGTGTTAGTGACTTTGAAGGCGTAAAAGCCCACAACTTTTGCCTTTCTCAATCCCTAACTCACATAGTCAACTTTCCATCTCGCTTTCCAGTCAACCCAAATCACTTACCTTCTCTACTCAATTTATGTCTTGCTTCTGATCCTAGTCAGTGCTCTCCACATTTACCTCTTGGGGCTTCTGATCATGGTTTGATCTCTCTAAAGCTATTATCTCATTCTTTTTCATCATCTGAATTCCCCTATCATGGTGCCTCTTACAACTACCTTAAAACTGACTGGGACTCTTTCCATGATTTTCTTCGTGATGGCCCTTGGGTAGTTATCTTTTGTTTTCTTGCTGACAAATGTGCTTCTTACATAACTTCGTGGATTCAGGCTGGCATGGAATCTTTTATTCCCTCTTGACGATTCCAGGTTAAGCTTCACTCTTCTCCATGATTTTCCTCACATTGTGCTGATGAAATTTTTAATCGAAGCTATTACTTCCATATCTATCAACAAAACAATTCTACAGAAAACAGACTTTTGTTTACTATTGCTAGATAAAATCTTTTTACCATGGCGTTAGACAAAATTGTTTTACCCATTGTAAAAAAGTTTTGTCTAACACCAAAGCCCACTATTCTCAGGTCATTAAAATTCACTTTTCATCCTAAAAATTAGGCTCTCGTGACTTTTGAAGAGTCTTTAAAAGTATCAGTAATAATCTGTTGTCCCACCTCTCTTGTACGGTTCAGATTTTGTCACCTCACCTATAAACAAATTTCATCTCTTGATTCCACTAGTTGCATTCTACCTGATATAGCTGACAAACCGGTTGATCCATTGCTTGACATTCGTATCACTCCAGCTTCTGTATCTAAAATTATTTCCTGCTTAGACTCTTCTACAACTTGTGGTCCAGATAACATATCTGTTGTAGTCTTGCATAAGTGTTCTCCGGAGCTGTCGTCTGTACTTTTAAAACTATTTAACAAGTGCTTATCAGAGTCATGTTTTTCAGCATGCTGGAAAATGGCAGCTGTTATCCCTATTTTCAAAAACTCTGGAGAGCGATCTGACTTGTCTAAGTATTGTCCCATTAGCCTTCTTACTATAATAGGCATGATTTTTGAGTCTTTTGAATCAACAAACACTTAATCTCTCATTTTAAATCTAATAACTTACTTTCTGACCATCAATGTAGATTAGTATCTTCTCATTCTACAGCTGATTTGCTAACAGTAATATCTGATAGGTTTTATCATGCATTAGATTGATGTGGAGAGATTAAGGCTATTGCTCTTAACATTTCTAAAGCTTTTGATAAAGTTTGGCATGCTGGTCTTCTCCATAAGTTTTCTTCTTGCGGTGTATCTTAAAGATGTTAATCTTTAAGATTATTGAATCCTTTATTTCCAATCGTGGTGTAAAAGTTGTCCTCAATGGACAGCACTTTTCTTCATATCCTGTAACTTAAGGGGTTCCTCAAGGTTCTATCCTTGGCTCTGTTCTCTTTTTAATTTACATTAACGATCTTCCAGATATTCTCACATCTAAGTTGGCATTTTTCGCCGATGATACTACCATTTAGTCTTGTCTTGATAAGAAGCCAACAATCTCTGATTGCTTGGAGGGAGCATTTGAGCTTGAAAAAGATTTCACTTAGGCTACATCACGAGGCTTTCAGTGGCTGGTAATTTTTAATTCAGATAAAACCCTTTATTTTTCAGGCAATTGTTACCACAGTAATTTAGATCTTCCTATATTATAGATATGTACTTGACGAGTCATCTACCCTTCATTTTCTAGGACTAACTCTTATTTTCAATCTTTCTTGGAAAACATCAAATCGATTAAAAAATTAGCATCTACTAAGGTTGCATCTATTTATTGTGCTTGCCAATTTTCTACTCCTGATTCTATTTTTTATCTCTATAAATCTCAAATCTGTCCTTGTATGGAATACTGTTGCCATATCTGGGGTGGATCTTCCAATGATGCCCTTTTTATTTTTATTTTATATATATATATATATATATATATATATATATATATATATATATATATATATATATATATATATATATATATATATATATATATATATATATATATATATATATATATATATATATATATATATATATATATATATATATATATATATATATATATATATGTAATCTTTTTTTTTTCTAAAGCCATTATTCAGAAATGTTTTGGAGCATAAAAAGGTCCCAGCCTTTCAACTGTATGAAGATAGTCCAACAGGAAGTAACAAAGAAAATTTTAAACAGATAGGTAATCTCTTATTATTAATAGATATAAATATATATATACATTTTTTTATATTTTGTATATTTTGTAATGATTTATGAGTTTGGATATCTTCATTGATTTATATATAAGTAAGAAAATAATTATATATAATTACTTTATATATATATATATATATATATATATATATATATATATATATATATATATATATATATATATATATATATATATATATATATATATAAGTAAGAAAGAAAATAGTGAGCATATATATAAGAAGTAAGAAAATAGTATATATATATGTATATATATATATATGTATATATATATATATATGTATATATATATATATATATATATATATATATATATATATATATATATATATATATAATATATATATATATATATATATATATATATATATATATATATATATATATATATATATATATATATATATATATATATATATATATATATATATATATATATATATATATATATATATATATATATATATATATATATATATATATATATATATATATATATATATATATATATATATATATATATATATATATATATATATATATAAGAAGTAAGAAAATAGTGAGCATGATAAACAGAAGCGAGCTTAGTGGATGAAAATGGGAACAGCAGATGCCATTTTTTCAGCAGGCAGGAAAACAAGACTCAGTCATGCACTTATTAAATAGTTTAGAGAGAATTGAAGAGAGTTCTGGAAAATAACTTTGTAAGACTATGACAGAGTTGTCATTACTGCAAGCCATAGAAGAGTTTAACTTAGATATAACTTTGGCAATGGAAGCTGGAGTAATTCAAATTTCTAACAATAAATAAACCTGTTTAATTGGAATGGAAGGAAGAGAATGGCCATAAGATTCAAGAGTCAAATTTAAAAAAATTTCCTTGCAAATATTTCTGTTTTATTCTTGGGAGAAGTAATAAGATCAGTTCCTTGAATAATAATTTCTAAAATAAGATACAGGATTTAGTGAACTGGGAATAATGGAACTTTTTTTTTGTTTTTTTTTGTTTTTTTGTTTTTGTTTATATCGTGTTACAGTTAACAATTATATAAATCGTAATACAATTATATAAATAACTTTATAAATAAAAGCTTTACAAATATAAACAAGGTTTCTGATAGAAGATCACATTTATCTTGTCGCCAGAACCTTTTAAAAGTGTAAAAGCAACAACAACAGCAAAATTAAATAAAAAATTAAATATTATATAGTGCGTTATTGCATATTAGAAGTAATTAATTATATCCTTTATAGAATAAATAAATTGTTTTAGTTTATTTTTAAAAAGTTCAAATGAAGTTGATAAATCAAAATTATTCAAAACAATTTTGTTCCAGAGATAAGGTGCACGGTATCCAATACAAAATTGATTGAACTTTGTACGACAAAGTGGCTCATTTAAAAAATTATCATTTTGCAAAATATATTTGTCTATAGATAGTGCTGAGTCATCTTTACATTGAAACTTTACATTAAAACAAAAACACAAAATTTTTTAAATGTTGAGTTGATATACATTAAAGACATTCGCATCTTTAAATAAAAAATTTGAATGCGTTGAACAATTTTAAAATATATTTAATGCATAGCCTGTTTCTGACGACGATAAAGAAGTTGCAATTTACTTTTGCTTGTGCTTCCCCAAGCAATATTGGCATAATTAATATAACTATGTATAAAGGAGTAGTAGAGTTGCATTGAACTCTTTTTATCTAAATAAAATCTGATCTTAAATAGGATGCCAATACTCTTAGCAACTTTTTTTTTTTTTTTAATTATCTTCGCTTCCAACAAGGCTGCAGGCAACCACTAATTAGTGTTGGAAGTTACTGGAAGAGAAAAGACGAAGATTGTAGAGCAAGATAACGATTGACAGACGACTTAAAAGATTGCAAATTATATGAATCAGGAAAGCAAGATGAAGGAAGTGAATTCCAAAGAACTGATGTTCGAGGAAAAAAACTAGACGAATAAGAGTTTTTGGAACACTTAGGAACAGTAACAGAAAAAGGATGAGACTTGATTGAATGACGAGTAGCACGAGAATGAATTTTAGTAGATGGCACAAGAGACGCTAGCTCTTTCCAGCAGTGCCCATTATAGTATTTGTAGAAAAGAGAAAGAGAAGCAACATTACAACGATGTGACAGAGGTTGAAGGTTGGCTGCAAGAGCAGGTTCAACTATGTTTATAATGCATTTTTGCACCTTGTCTAAAAGAGAAAAGGCATTATTAGAAGATCCGCCCCAGTTATGGCAACAGTATTCCATACAAGGCCAGATTTGAGATTTAAAGAGATAGAGAATAGAATCCAGAGTAAGAAAGTGACGAGCTCGATAAAGAGAAGCAACTTTAGCAGATGCTAATTTTGCAACGGATTTGATATAAGGTTTCCAAGAAAGATCAGAAGTAAGAGTTAATTCTAGAAGATGAAGGGTAGGAGACTCATCGAGTACATTACCGTTCATAAATATAGGAAGGTCTAAATTATTGCGATAACGATTGGCCGAAAAAAATTGAGTTTTATCTGAATTAAAGTTCACCAGCCACTGTGAGCCCCAAGCTGTAGCAGAAGTGAGATCCTTTTCAAGCAGATGCCTCCTGCAAGCAATCAGAGGGAGTTGGCTTCTTATTGTGACAAGAATAAATGGTAGTATCATCAGCGAACAATGCCACCTTAGATGTGAGAATATCTGAAAGATCGTTAATGTAAATTAAAAAGAGTATGGGGCCAAGGATTGAACCTTGGGGAACCCCTGAGGTTACAGAATAAGAAGAAGAGTGCTGTCCATCAAGGACAACTTTTATACTACGATTGGAAAGAAAGGATTCAATAATCTTAAAAATGTTTCCAGATACACCTTAAGAAGAAAGCTTTTAGATAAGACCAGCATGCCAAACTTTATCAAATGCTTTAGAAATGTCAAGAGCAATGGCCTTAACCTCTCCACCTTTATCTAATGCTCGATAAAACCTATCGGTTATTACTGATAGCAAATCAGTCATAGAACGAGAAGATCTAAATCCATATTGATGATCAGAAAGTAGGTTATGAGATTCGAGATGAGAGATTAAGTGTTTGTTAATTAAAAATTCAAAAACCTTGCTTATGATAGGAAGAAGACTAATGGGACGGTAGTTAGACGAATCAAATCGATCTCCAGAATTTTTAAAAATTGGGATAACAAATGCTGCTTTGCAGCAAGCTAGAAAACAAGACTCTGATAAGCACTTGTTGAATAGTTTTGAAAGGATAGACGACAGCTCCGGAGAACACTTCTGCAAGACTATAACAGGTATGTTGTCCGGGCCGCAAGCTGTAGAAGAGTCTAAGCGGGAAATTTTTAGATACAGAAGCTGGAGTGATACGAATGTCGAGCAATGGATCAACCTGTTTGACGGCAATATCAGGTAGAACGCAACTAGTGGCATTAAGAGATGATATTGATGAAAAGTTCTTGGCAAACAATTCAGCTTTGTCTTTAGGTGAGGTGACAAAGTCTGAACCATATAAAAGAGGTGGAATTACAGACTTGCCCTTATTATTGATACTATTAAAGATTCTCCAGAAGTCACGAGAGCCTAATTTTTGTGATGAAATACGAGATTTCATGATCTGAAAATAGTGGGCTTTGGCATTAGACAAAACCTTTTTACAATAGTTCCTACCAGTAATAAACAGACGTCTGTTTTCTGGAGAATTGTTTTGCTGATAGATATGGAAGTAATGGTTTCGATTAGCAATTGCAGCAGCACAATGTGAGGAAAACCATGGAGAAGAGTGAGGCTTGACCTGGAATCGTTGAGAGGGAATAAAGAATTCCATGCCAGCCTGAAGACAAAAGTTGTGAGCCTTAATGCCTGCAGAGTCACTGACACTAGAGCCAAGCCATTCAGTGTGATGAACATTAAAGTCACCGACAACAACAATATTGGCTGATGGATAAAGAATGAGGGCTTGGTCAATATAATCAGAAATAATATCAAGAAGAGTGCAGTCTTGAGATGAGGGAGAGCGATATAGAACAAATAGAAAGGTGACAGAGTGATGTGGTGCTAAACGAAAGCACATAAAAGAGTAGTCTGTGGAGTCAAACCTAGTTTCCCGACAAATGGGTGAATTCTTACAAATGTAAATGCTCAGGCCAAGCATGTGACTATTGGAGTCTTTATGAATTAAAGGAAGATAACTATCAACACTAAGATCACAAGATGAGACAGCTGAACTCAAATTAGTCTCACAAAGAGCAAGTAGGTCTGGTGAACTTTGCAAGAGATAAGACTCAACAGAAGAAAAGTTACGTCGAGACCACGAATATTGGTGAATGATAGGTTTAGCGAACTTCGTGATGACTGTGGTTTTTTGTGTTTTATAGTTTTTGTTACTTTATTCATTTTTAAATTTGTTAAAGAATTTGACTCGATACATAGATAGTACTCAGTACACTGCTTTATAGGTCAAGCAATTGCCTCATTTCCACTAATAAACCCTAAGCCGTAACAAAGGGCTCCAATGTGGCCTTGGCAATGCACACCAAAAGTACAAACAGGGACACCATCCATGCGTAACATGGCACTGTTAAGATTCTGATATTTTTCAGCTGTTGATGGAATCAGTCTCTCTGAGAGCTACCACAGAGTTCGGGAAACCTGACTACCAGCCGGCCTCAGAACCATAAAACTGAGTTTTAGAGCTGTACCCTCATTTGGAGATAATAGAATGAGTTGCCTAGTCATAAAAACAGAGACACAAGCAAAACTATGAATCGAGTCAAGAAGATCCAGTATTCAACATCCTAAACTTGAAACAATGTATTAAAAATACGACTGCGCCAGCCTAATAGATGAAGAAGGGGTGCAAGGCTGGTCAACAGGTAGAATCTGTTTACCCTTCAAGTCTTTGCCTAGGAGGCCTTTTACAAAACAGCAGCTGGATGCATTTAACATCTGCCCAAGATGTGTATT